CTTCTTGAAAGCAATGAAGTTGAAAGGTCCAGGGCATTAACATCTTGCATCACAGAGAAAAAAGAAAAGAAGGAATCGATTAAAATGAAAAAGTGGAAGCCTAGAAAGCCTAGCACCGATATAAAGAAAATTGTCTGTATCAGAAATTGGCCTGATATGGCCAATAATTTGGCCAATAAATGGTCTGTGCATGTGCAGTTGCAGCACAACATGTAGGTAGCAAGGAGCACAGTCAGGCGGCTTGACGAGCAGCGTCCAGCTGGTAAGTCTGGTGTGGTGGAAGAGGGGGGAGGAAAGGGGTGTGGGGGCATCTTCAGTGCCCCTCATGGTGAAGGGAGTGGGGCTGGGACAAACTGGGGCAAGTGCTGTCCAGCTGGGGCAGCCACAGGATGGCTCCATGCCCCCTGGACGGGCCACAGCTCTGTCCCATGCCTGCCCTTTACCAACTAGGCAGCACTTGCCCCAGTTCCTGTCCCAGCCTCACTCCCTCCCTCACTGCAGGGGGTGTGGACCTGTTCCCCACACCCCTTCCCTCCCCCCTCCTCTTCCACCACAACAGACTTACCAGCAGGACACTGCTCTTCAACCTGCCAGGCTGGTATCTAAATTGGATCAGTATCAGCTGACACGCCTCCTTAAAAATCAGCTATCAGTATCTGCCCCAAAAATCTCTATCAGTGCATCCCTAGTTTAGGATCAGGGAAAGACTCCAAAGCAATAGCAAATGGCATCAGATCCTGGTATGAAGGCGACCTAAGCAACGGCAGCAGCTTGCAAGGTCTTACACTCTTTTCAATGATAGGGAAAGTATTTTCCAGTGTCACATTCAGGGGAATAAAAGCAGCAGTAGAAGCAAAGCTGAGGGAAGAGCAAGCCAGATTTCAACACGGGGTAGGGGCAGATGGTATGCCAACTAGTATAACAATTCTACCAAGTGAAGGGGTGGTAGACACACAAAGCAGTTGCAATGGATTAGTTTGTGGACCCTCCCCCCCCTTCTTAACTTGATAAAATTGCTTCATCTAGTTGCATCCCCAAAATATCACAAACAGATTTGCATCCTAAAACTAATGAGAGAATGGAGCATTAAATGGCAATGTCTGAAAATCACCAACTGCTGATACTTTCTCAGTCTGACAAAGGGTATTTATACCCAAAAGCTGGCAAAGAAGAATTTTTCTAACTATTTCAGTTGGTCTAATAAAAGATCAGATTTACCCAAAGAACCTTGTCTGACATTTAAAAAGCTTTGGATAGCCTGCATCAAAATTTCCTCTGGAACGTCTTGAAGTGTTATGGCATGTCATGAGATATAATTAGCAATATCAAAGCTTCACATCAAGGTGTAATATGCACAGTTAATGTAGGGTTGAACAAATATTTCAGCAAAAACCTTGGTGTCATAAAGGATCTCTTCTCTCACTCCTGTCTGTAATTGTGATTGGACACAGATCCAAAAAATGCATCACATGGTGTAAAGTACATTCTAAATTTTACTGATGACATAGCTCTTCCATGTGCCTGCCTTATTTGAATTTTAAAAGAAAATGGGTATATTTTGTACCCTAAAAGGAAATTTTGTTTTTCTAGTTCAAACAATATTTAAAAAAAGCAAGTTGCCATTTTGGAGAGCAAAGTAGTGTTCCATAATGCCTTTGCAAGAATACAGCAGAAACAGAATAATTCAGAGGGTTAGGTTCCTTAGTCCAAGGTGCAAATTAAAGGAGAACTTGGGGGGGCTGAGCCCCCTCATAAGAGACAACAGCCCCCCTGTAAGATTTGAAAATCATAACCTGGGGCTTTGATCAGATTGCTCCTTCACTTAGGTGGGCTTGTTAATCAATGAACTGGTTTAATTTTTTTTGCAGACCCCAGTAAGAGTCAAAGTGTAATTCAAACCCTGCCTTAGCCCTTGTAGCTGTTTTGGGATCTAAGTCACTGCATATAATGGAAGTTCTACTTCATAAATTATTTCATATATAGGAAATGCAATATAAGCCATAAGGCTGAATTCTAATCTCATATACACAGTGAATTGTAACGATATTCTGATTTTACTGTCACATGTATTTAAAAAAAACCCAGACAGAGTGATCACCTGAATGATTACTAGAGGCAGGTCTAATTTAGAAAGTTCAGTGGTGATGAAGTCCGTGGCAGAATTCCCAGTGATTTCACTGGGATAATTTTCAGCTGAAGTGTTAACCCAAACATTAAATATCATTGCAAGAAAACACATCAGTTATCTGAAGCCAACACTATCTAATGTTTGGCAGTAAAAACAAAAGTATTTTATTACAAACAACATTTTGTGTGTAAAATTGAGTACTAACAACACACCACATACAGGTATATAGAAGAAGATAAATGCAGCAAGGCACAATGGCAGCAACTTATAACAGGAATACAAAATAATTGTTAACTTTAGGCCCACTCTTCAGTTGTTTTCGTAGTATTCAAGTGACAATATTAAACTATTCAGAAAATATATTTTGCTTTCAGAACAACCATATTTTAACATTTCTAAAGCTACATTAGGACTGACTTGATCTTATTTAGTACTGCCAGTTTCTGTTAAAATAATTTACATATGCATCTGTAGACTTTCTTACCTAGATTCATCTTGTATCTTAAGAGATGGTGGAGGTCTTTACATATTATGTTTTGTATGCTTTTTATGAATCTTTGCAAGTAATGTCACTTATACAACCATAAAGCATTTATGCCCTCAACATCTGCAAGGAAGGAATATACTGTTGTTCTATTTTACAGATGGTTAGAATGATTCCCATAGGAGCTATGTGATTTGCCCAAAGTCACAGAACAAGTTGATGGTAAAACTGGGAAACCATCCAAGAATAGCATGTTCCACAGCCTCTCAAATAACTGTTCTTCTCTTTCAGGTTCTCATGTAGGAAGTTGACAGCTGTGGGTAATATGCATCTGATAACCCCTGAGTAGTATTTGGCCATAATTCCAATATCATATTTAAAATGTAAAAATAGCATTTATGTAAAATTTTTGCTAAAAAACTCAAATGAAGTCATCTTCATTGTAGAATCCATACAAAATGTCAGATTTCTGTAACAAAGAAGAAAGTGTATGTTGCTGGTCAAAATTTAGCTCCAAAAATAAAATATTACTTAAATACAACTTAAAATTACCTACCAGTATTATTATTTAACATTAATGCTTAGGGACCCCAATCAAAGATCAGCTCATATTATTCAAAGTGCTGAACAGATCTATACACTTACTGTAATGAAAATATAATACCCCTCCTAAAAAATGTTCAGTCTATGTACCTCTGAATTTTGATTCTACAGAAAAAAGTTTTGTTGTCATATAATCAAAGATTATATAATACTTCATATGGATAAGAATAAAAAGTACTGTTGTACAGGCAATCTTAATTTTGGCATTTTTACCAATAATTTTGGCAACTTTTGAATATGTAACTTTAAAATGTTAAAAATGTTCTGTAACTTATGTATTTTTTAATGAAATACAAGACACCTGATAACTAAGTCTATTAGGGAATGATGTAAGCCATTAAATTTTCATGTAGAAAGACTTGTGAAATCTTACCTCCTGCAAAAAATACACAGGCCTCTTTACAGTCATCTTCACTATCGAAGCGATTGGCATTTCCATCACAGCCACCATACCAAAACTGAGCACAGGCATTGGCTTGCTTATCATAGTACCATTTTATTATATACATACGACATGACCCTTGATCTAATCTTAATTTACATCGTGGATCCAGAGTATTTTCTAAAAATAAATAAATAAGTAAAACATCTCAGTGTTTTCATCCTCTAAAATCCATTTCACTGCTGCCAGCCTGACAGAGAAGTTTAAGGTTTAGTTGTACTGTCTAAAGATTTTTCCTCAAATTTGAAAAATTACTTAAAAATGGGACCTAATACCTCATTTAATAAATAATTCTTTGACCTGAATAATTCAAGCAGCTTCAAATATCAGAAAATTATATTGAGCTAAGTTAGTGTTTATTCATGCTGGTTATGTACTACAGAGCGCGGAGACAGTCTGATAATGGAAGTGAATTGTAAGCACTGTTATCAGCAGCCAAGAGAGAAAAAAGATTGGTAGCTAAAGGAATTATACACAGTATTCTTACATATTCAAAGTATGTAAGAGCTTCTAATACCCTTAGTTTATATTCATAGATAACCTATGTTCTGATACTATATCAATCACTGTGGCATTGGAAACACAAGCATTCATAGTTTCGTAGTTTCTAGGGTCCGAAGGGACCTGGACAGATCATCAAGTCAGACCCCCTGCCCTGGGCAGGAACGAGTGCTGGGATCATATTACCCCAGCCAGATATCTATCCATCCTCCTCTTGAAGACCCCCAAGGTAGGGGAGAGCACCACCTCCCTTGGGAGCCCACTAGATTTAAGAACAAAAATATCATACTTGTTTTTGTAAGATGTGTACGCTGCATATCTAATCAATATTTGGTAATCACATACCAAGGAATGCTAAATAAGAATGAGATCTCCTATGAGCGTGCACTCTAGGATGCACGAGCCTAATCTAGTCAGTTATATAAAGATGCCCTTTCAAGTACTGTAACATTAAATTGATATATTATCTATCATAGGTGCAAGTTGTGTATTTCTTGCATCTGAAGCCTCAAGGTACTAGCCTCTGTCAGAATATGCCAGAAAACATATCTTCTATCAGGGACACATTTACATTTCTAAGGGTAGTGCTCTTTTTTGTGTGGCACCTGACAGTTTTTGGATGCTATGCAGATGGGAATTCCTTAGGCCAGTGGGATCCAGCCTTTTTGGCAAACATGCCACAAATTGGCCCCACACCCTCCCTGAGTGCCTCTGTGGTCCCTTTTCTCTGCCCAATCTGTTGCTCTGTTTT